CTACCTAATGCTACAGAACTGGGAGATCCTTCGGAATTAGAAGAATAAGACCAGTTTGTTTTACTATGCTTAGCTTTTGGTACCCACATATAGCTTGTTCTGCTCTGAGTGCCACCTGGTACTTGCCGGTTTGTCCAAAAGCAGACGAGGATCTTATCTGTTGGAGGCTCCTAACCACCTCCCATAGAGTTCCTTGCCACTGGATTTCTGACTTTTGGCTGAATTGACACATAGGATTCAATCCGCATAAACGGGAACACATCCACGCAGGCATGCATGAATACGTTTTCGTAAATATAGCTGTGTGCCAAATCGGGGCAACAGAAACAGGGAGTCTTTCCTCTGGATTCGTTTTCGTCTCAGGGAAGAACAGGTCGGCTTTGGTCCACCATTAACCTTATGTCTGCCCCATTTGGCGATGATCCACGTTACATCGCGAGTAACCGGCGTGAGATCACTCTATGAGGGAAATCTGTGGATGAATAATACTAGACGGTATATAATTAGTTAAACATTGTGATATAAACTGCAGCCTCAGTTTAGCTGGTTTCAGTATTAACTTGTGCTCTCCAGATCATGCTGCACCGTTTCGTAAAAAACTGGCTGAGAGAAAGGCAGAAGAAAAGGCACAGTGGTAGAGTGGGTGGCACGTGAGCCACCGGAATGCGTAATCGGGATTGGAATCTGCCCGAGGGTCCGAGTTTTACAAAAGAAAGTGGTTTATCTTAGCTGTTACTTCACGGAACCTCATTATCTCACATGAGTTTCTTAAGTATGTATAGGTTTGATACACTTAGTGGATATGAGATTCCCAGAACTTTTAACATTCTTGCTTATTTATATAACCCATCATCACATAATGCGCAGATTCCATCACTTTCATTCGCTTTGTTGTCTCGCATCCATTATCCACGAAAGTCTCCGGATTTGTGTGTAGGTTCGGTTTGTGTTCGAAGATTTAGGTTTCTTTCTGAATATCGCAGAATGCTGGCCAAAGTGATTCACTTTAGAGTCCTGGGACAACTGTGTTATAGTGTTCCCATCTCTGCAGCATAGGCAACACCTTTTCTGAAAGTTGCAAGCTATCGCGAAAGAGTCTGGCTCTGATTTGTCAACGAAGCAGTTGAGCTCGTCTTGACCTTGGGTGGGATCGAACCAGTGCATAAAGTCTTTGTATTACACGACACCTCTGGTTGCTGCGATTCTAGCGACCCTCATTGAGTACGTAATGGCAGCCTACCTGCATCTAGGATCGTGCAGGTTCAAGAACTTTTGCTTTTCACTGATCCTGCTAGTTTGGCAAGATCTTTGTTTTCTGACGCCTGGAAGGAATCACCAGCCGTTGTAGTTCGAAGGAGGATTTGGCAATCATATTGCTCCAAAAGAGCGATTATTCCCTACACCTATTCACTCAGCTGAATTGCCGTCTAAAAAGTGAATTTCTGAGCCGTACTCCACGTCACGATGTGACATTAAACCACTTTGGTGAATGGCGGTATTGATTTTTAAAAGCGTATTTAAAGCATTGTTAGTGATGGCAGACTCAGCTGGAATGGATTAGGGCATGATTTATGCGTTTTGGCTTTTGCTACCTAATTCTTACTACTTTTGCTGCTTGACTTCGGTGCCTATCCATGATGTGGCTAATGGAGAATGTTTTGTTTTCAACTCTGTCACAGAGGTAACGATTTCGGAAACACTGCATAATATATCATATTTTCAAAAAATGGATACTAACAGCAGGTACGCACTTTTCAAACGTGTCGTTGACACTCAGAGATCAGCTTCGCAATTGCCCACTCTCTTTCCAATAAGTATGTTTGTATCGGCCTATTACACCGACCTGGATCGGTTAGTCGGCTAATCACAAGAACTGAAGTCGTCCGCAAGAATAGTGCTTGCATAAAACTTCTTTCCGAGTCCACAACATGCAGGAACTACCGGTGGTGATATTCTGGTACCGTTATAGTACGGCTACTCTGTGATCACAAGGGAAACAATGTAAGGATCCAAGAATGAACCGCAGACAGGAATGCCTCGTTATCACGATTGATCTCACACATTATCTTAGACTGATATTTTAAGGTGGAGATACCCACTACACGTCCATTTGAACTCTGTGATGGGCCTCCACGTGAAATGTTCAATGAAAAGGAAAACGAAAAAAACGAAAAAAAAACGAAAACGACTCAGCGAAAACGCTGAGTGTGTGAAGAAGCTGTTTTGTTCTCAACGTGATTGAAATCTGGGTTTCTCAATTTTTCTCCTGTGGTTATGTAGCTGTTTGTCTGACTAGGTTGCACTCGACTTGACCTTTCCGTGCTGGGAATAAGGCGAAGTTTGCCGAAACGGCAGCTTTTGTGAGTAAAGAGCGTGGTGAAGACGTATGTGTTTATCAAGAAAACACGAATTAGTGATCAATGCCGAGATTAATAGAAAGTCGGTCTTAGAAACTACTGAGAGCAGAGTGTGTTCTTACAATTTGTACACCGATAGTACCAGGATCCACGGGCGTGTGGCATAGTGGTCGGAGGCGCCTTGCAACACACACGTGGGATCGATAATCGCGCCCATGGCCCACCAAGCCTTCCATCCTTCCAGGGTCGGCAAATTGGTATCAGACTTGTCTGAGAGGATAGCAGCACTGGCTTGATACATCGGTAGGCCACCGTGAGTCATTGTAAAGGCCAGATATGCATCTAACCACTTCCAAACAAGCCTTAATGAAGTCGAATGCATGGCACATCCCTCAGAGGTTGATCAACGCCGAGAGTTTTATCCTTTATCCTTTTACCAGGATCCACCGCCGTTCTGGTGTCAAACTAGTTACATGGTGGCAAATCTCCCTCTGATCCACGAGGGCGACGACTGCCTGTGGTGGTGATAACCTGGGGCAGACTTTGGCTACGGAGACGTCGGGATTCCAGAGAACCATGATAGCTAAACCATCGAAACTATGCTGAGGCCCGCACATCCAGTGAGGACGGGCCATCCAAGTATCCATGTGTGTATGTTACAAAAAATAGTGGAGTTATGATGCGTCATGAATACGACGGTACTGTTACTAATTCTACCTTATATTTAGGACTCTAGTAAAAGTAAAAAAAAACACGGTAAAGTTGGATTGAGGTGGTGGGACACTGAAATGTCTGTGGCTTATCTATGGCACTTGAAGAGTGGAAAGAATCCGCACGTAGTTGCTGGAAAGCTCTAATGAACTAATTCGTAGTATTGATGAAGCTGATCTAGAGCATTTCGGTGTTGTTCCACCAAAGGAACATCTTTACAAATTCTCGACGGATTTGGACTCTATTTATCATTTTTAAGATGCTTTTTTCTTCTGGGCTCGTTGTAAATGTGGACAAGCCTCGTACAAAAAATATATGATAGCTCTACGTATATTTTACGTAGCAGATTTTCTTTCAAATAAAAGAACTAAACTCCCTTACCTGTGACGTCAGCAATTATCGACTTACAATGTAATTGTTAAATACACTAAGTGCAAGCGCTTTGTGTTAGAGCGTAAAATGCATACAGACGACTTATTGCCCAAGTGTTTGACGTGGGAAATTTCACGAGCTTGCTCTTGTCAGGTCGATATGTGGTGTAAATTCATTACTACCAGAGAAAGATTATGCTGCTCGTTCGACAGATGGATTACGATGTTACATTTCTAGCGGATTCCATATAAAAACTTCTCCGGCAAAGAAGTTTATAGGCGTTGGCACCTTCAGCAAGGAATCTTATAGCCGAACGAAATGCAATCTGGGCATACAATTTAATGACTTACCGAATATCGGTGTAACGCAGATTCATGTAAAGGTGCGGTTTCATTAGCAGATGATTAGTAAACGACTTGATTCTTCGGTTTCAGTGCTTTTCCAGTTCTACAAGTGTAACGCGCCAATCCGTAAACTGATATGGAAAGCGATAAGGACGATAAAGAATTCAGTCAATCACGTTGCTGTTCTCACCACAACAACGTCAACTGGGCTTTCTCATTCACGTTTACGTCATTAGATGATGACGTGCTGCTCAAAAGCCTTGTGGCTTCCTAGAATCAACATAACAGAGAGGGTACTGGAATGTTAGGATTCCAGATCAAGTCATGTCCTCTACATCAGTAGATCGACATCATCATTCGTTGCTCACTGGAATTTGGAGAACGTATGGCAGGAGAATAGGAATCGCTTTTCACTGATGAGTTGCTGAAGAGATTTGCTGCCGAGATAGCGAAAGACATGGAGGTTTCAGCGTAAAGTGCAAATTCTTTCGGTTTAAGAACATTCCCTCAATGACTGTACTTGTTTCCATGTGTACTAAAAACAAACAGTCACAAGTTCAGCAGATGACTCAGAGTGCTGTTCCCACATCCAGTCTGCCTTCGGTCCGGTCCACTCGTCCATCCACGACGGGGTTCGCAAGTTTTTCGATGCGCGAGTGGGCGTGCAGTTGGCGCGCACACCGCCTGCTCCTCGCCCGACGGCACTATCCTCAGTCAGCTGTGCCGACCACCCTCCCGTTTCTAGTCTCGATTCCGAGCAGATTATTTGATTTTTACTTCGTGATCAGGATCTCTGAAACTTCAGACAGCTTACCAGTACAGGTCAGATACAATGGATTTAACTGATCGCGTTAGGTAAAGCGAGGGTCAAGTCGGATCATGCATATCTCTTCGTATTGTTTTCGATCAGTTCTCTCAAGTATTATTTTTCTTCTGTTGAATAACTGTAACTGCTGTGCATAGCCATATTTGTTTCTCTCATCTTCATTCAGTTCGTCGTTGAGTGACAAAGATTGAATGTTTTTCAATTTCGAAATGTGGCGTCTGCCATTGATTACTTCGGGCGAAGAGTCGGAAGAAAGATTTTTGTCGTGGGGTAGCGTTTCGTGCGCTGTGTATGTGCGATAAGAGATAAACTTCTTTTGAATTATGCCTTTTATAGAAAGAATTGCTCCTGAAGGTAGAGGCTATACATTAAGTCGTTTTGAGACAAAGAATGAGCTCAAAGAAGTGTGCTCGTGAAGAATGCGGGAAGACAGTCTACCCCTTAGAAGAACTCAAATGTCTAGACAAGGTGGGTGTGTTGACTATCTGATATGCTCTTCTAGGCGAAAAATACTTTTAGGTATGGCATAAGCAGTGTTTCAAGTGCACTGTATGTGGTATGACGCTCAATATGAAGAACTATAAGGGTTATGACAAGATGCCTTACTGCGAACCGTATGGCTTCGTACTGTTCTGTTCTACTAGTGATGCCAGTGTTCGCCATATGCGAATCTTTCAGACACTACCCGAAAACTGTTGCCTCTGTCGTGACGGATACTCCCGAAATGAGACGTGTAGCCGAGAATACGAAAAATCAAAGTCAAGTTAGTGTTTATACTTTTCATGTTGGCGTTTTGGTTGATGTTAGACGATCTAAGCGCTATTGATTAGTGTAATGTGGTAGTGTGTTTTCTCTTTTCTGAGAAAATCACATAAATCGCAGGACACGGCGGGCGAATGTTACAGCAGCGTTGAGGACTCGGGTGCTTTTCGATATCTCGAATTCAAGTTCTCTAAATGTGGGCTCGAAATCGTTCCAGGTTTATTCGACCTCTGGTGTATTGAGTTTGTCACGAGCAATTATCCCATGAATAGTGTCTAACCATGTCACCTATCTCTCCGAGGTCTGCAACGTCAGCTGGCAACACCTGTATACGATTTGCTTCCTAGAATCTAGAAGCACGCGCCTGCGGTGACTAGCGGGAACATTCAAAACAAGATTGTTTCCAAGATTCCAACACAGTCAAATCTACAACCGTTCATATACATTCCTACATTTTTGGCGAAAACATTCTCAAGAAGCACAGTCAAATGGAAGTTTTTGTTGAATGACAGATGCAGGACAGCGAACCAGATGGAAGAGGTGCTGAGATTTGCACAGTATGTGAAGAACTGTCATAGAAATAAAAATAAAAGTTCACTTTGCAATGCTTTACGGAAATTGTTTGAAGGGTCTCTAGAGATTCTAGATAGATCTAGAGATTTATCACTCAGTAACTCCTAGAGTGAATTTTCTCTAGTCTCACTGTCAAATAAGGCTGTGTTTTCCTTACAATTTTGTCACTGTCCAGTAGTTTCTTAAAGTGACGTATTATGGGTTTGGTTCACTCTATATCGTCTGGTCGGCTTGACAGCACCCGTGTCAGAGGTTCTTCTTTCTGTAACCTCTAGGAGTAAGTTGGACAGTTATGCTAAACAACTTTATACGACCATATTTATGTCCTTAATACATTCCTACTACAGTTTTAGCTTCATCAATTTCCAGTTCGGCTATGCAATAACTTAGATTACGCTCTATACAGTGAGAGGCCGCTTAGTTTTTGAAATCCCAGAAAATTCGTGCTTTAAAGTCGTCATAATCAACGTTCCTTATAGATTTAATTGACTTCGACGAGTTGTTTTTTAAGAAATTGGAGGATTCAGATTCTCTTTGAGTATGATAAGCTTGTGAAACTGGCTCTTTCAGGTCCAGTATCATGCCGCCTATGAAAAAACTAAGGGCACAAAAATCGAGATAGCTGACGATCCAGAGATGGAACGACATCGGAAAAATATGCATGTGCGCTACAGGCATCCTTTTCTTGCTTTTTTCTTCTTTTTTTCCTTCGGGACTTTGTTTTTATTTTATACATAGGCAGTTCACATTTCTAGGCACAATCACAAATTGCCTATAGTGGAGAGTTAGACAAAAAGAAAAAAATGGAAGAAATTCGCCCAGCATTCGCACCTGCTGAAGCAGCCGGTACGTTTCCATATTCATAGGATTGTTTGTTGCCTTGTGATTTCTGGCCATAGTATGCTTTCCAAAGAAACTCATTCTGTAAGGACTTGGTTCTGCGCTCTGTATTTGTAAATGTGAAAAAAGTTCGTGTTCGAACTGTACTGCTCCATATGATACTGATTTGTAAGTCCTGTTCAGGCAAAGCAAAGGGGTCAACGGCTCCATCGAAGAGAGCTGAACCTGTATCAGCGCAAGCCAAATGAAACTATTAACAAATATGTTTATATAATAAGGTCACCATACCCGGTTTTAACTCCATCTCTCCGTTATGCTAGTATTTACCACTATTGTCGTGTAGTTTACTTTCTTAGCTTAAATATTTATTGGTTTTTGACATGCTAGTCAGTCTTCTTCACCTTTACCTACCGTTTTCCACCTATCATGTATATTACTGAGCTGAACCACATTTGCTTTGATCCGTTCTCTCACTGCTCAATTTGCCACGTTGCGCGCTTATAAAGAGTTGTTTTATGCTGTAAAGTGTTGTACATGACAAAGCAGTTCATTAACGAGGTTGTTATCTCCAGGATAACTCTTCACTTTACTTTCTTTTTGAAGGGCCAGTGACTTGGTTTAAAAGTTTTGTGTGTAGAAGTGCTTCTAAAGGAAATTTCTAGTGTGAGTTGTAGTGCATTCACCACTGCTTTACGTTGTGTTAAGCTTCAGTAAACTGGCTGGGCGCCAACGTGGCAAATTTGAAAAGGTGTGGCTTCACGGACTCGTCATGGTTAAGATTGCGGACTGTTTGGCACTATTAAAACCATTGTCTTTTCCATTAACAAGCTCTACACTATAGTTTTAATCCTCCATTGTTTGAAATGTGGCGCTTTCACAATGTTTCCGTTCATAAGATTATCAAATCAAAGGACCAACTTTTTATAAACCTCAGCATAACTAATCGATATATCTATTTATATGTCCCTATGAATTGATCTTGTTGAACTGATGCGAGGTTGGTGTGGGTTGTTGTTGTTGTTGTTGTTATGAGTACCACTCGTAACACCGCGGCTCTGAGAAAGGCGAAATCGCTGAAACATCAGCTATCTACCAACAAGAGCAACAACAACAGCAACAACAACAACGACAACAACAACAACAACAACAACGACAACAGCGACAGCTTATGCAAACCTCGCATCGGCTCAACAGGATCAGTTCATAGGAACTACCAAATCAAGTAAGCCATGAGATAGGCTGTTCAAAAGGTACAATTATTAGTGGTCTATTATTAGTTCTGATCATATTTTCTTATTGTTGAAGCTGTTGGTCGAATTTAAATTCTTTGAGTTGCATGGGGAGACTCGTCCGTTCATCTTGTTAATCAGTCATCTCCAGACCTTTTTCACATTGTATGACGACAACTTTCTGAAAAATCTTTTCTGCGGTCCAGAAGGTCAAAAATTACTCCGGTTTAGTTTGCATGTTCTGTTCTGTTTTTGCAGGGCTTGGTAGAGTTGTGTGCTGTCCCTTACCAGAGGATGGAGTGAACATTGCTAACATCGGAATTTGTAGTACACTGTCGCTCGGTCAACTCTCGACTCTAATCTTCTCGTGTGATAACATAGCTGCATCCATATGATTTCCATATCTTAGTGTAGCTTTTTTGTGCTCTGCCGTCGTTTTACTTGATTGAAAAGATTGTTGTGACGTTAAGCTATGATTGCTGAGGTCTGTAGTTGTTTATGTAGAACGTTGTGCTTTTGTGAATTGCTTTCGTGTTGCTGCAGCAAAACTACGTTTCAGTGCAACAACCGCAGGAGCAACGTGTCGTAGGCAGTATCGCAGACTATGATCCTTTGAATGGAAGTTGGGGTACCGCGGTGCAGTCCCGAACCAGTGAGAAAATCAGTAAGTCCGTAGGAAGTATAATGTTGACGTCCCTGCTTTCGTCTGATGTTGAAAAATTTTCCTTCTTGTTCAAATTTCCACATCGAGTACTTAAAAACTGTCTACTACTATACTGATCAGTTCATGTTATTAGTTGTAAGAATGTTTAAATAGAGATGATTACCGTACCGAAGATGTTAGTAATTCATGCCTGACCGCGATGGACTACATTTTCATAAGTTAGGTCGATAACGGAACTTAGTGAATCGAAGAGTACTCATTCTTTTCTACACTTTTGTACCTTACTCTGTGCTGTTAAACATGTGCCATGGGGATTTCTAGACCTGATAGTCACCGTTCGAGGTTGGTACAACCTATGAAGTAAGGTAGATTTTTGGATAGAAGGTTATTAGGAGGGCAGTAGTCGATCACAAACTGATTCTGGTAGTACTGCCTCTAGTAAAGTAGTTAAGCTAATCTATTTTGTTTACGAAAAATTAGAAACTATTTATGCTTAATATTCCTCATGTATGTTATGTTAATATGCTACTTTTAGATTTTTTAGTATAGTGGCTTCATGTTTGGCTTGTGCATTAACGTTCGGAAGCTAACAGATTGGAAATTCGATGTTTTCCAATTTGAAAGCGAGTTTGCAATAGATAAGTGTCGTGTGCTACTTAATAGTAAATATACTAAAAGTAGTTATGGAATAAATAATAGTATGTACAATAAATAAGTAATAAACACTAAACAATAGTATACTAAATAAACAATACATACTTGATACTTGACTTTTGAACGTCCTGTCCTCACTGATTGTGCGGGCCTCAGCATAATAACCATTTTTCGGCGATTTACTGGTTAAGCCATTGTAGTTCCCTAAAATCCCGTGGTCAGCCTGGCCAAAGTTTGCCACAGGTCTTCACCACCACAAGCAGTCGCAGCCCTTGTTGATCAGAGGGAGATTCGCCACCATGCGACTTTGATACCAGGACGGTGGTGGATCCTGGCTTACTCTTAGCTAGGCTTCCTAATGGAAACGCCGGACTCCTCCTCAGCTTGGGAGACCATGCCGGGGTACGAATCCCCATTCTGTACATCGCAGTCCCACACCCAGGAACAGCTACCAGCCACAATGAAGCGGTAAACCGTTGGGAGGAAATAAACAATACCGGTCAACATTGTGCAGCGTGCTTTCATGCAATGTGTTATTATACCATCTTCAGTAGGTGATTTCCACTAATGAAAATCTCGTATGTATCAATGAAAATGGAAGTAGACATCTGCGATGAAGGACCATCTTGTAGAGCGTGGTAGTTGGGCACATATGACCTCGTTACTACTATTATTTTATTCAAGAAAGGTGCCTCTTCTGCGTATTTCGCCTTCTCCAGAGCGTGGAAAGGTTATCTTAACTGGAACATAGTAAGCCAAGCACAGTCATAACCTTAACAGAAAGATATGTAGGTTTCGGCTAATTTGAAAGCAAAACAGTTTTTTCGTACACTCATTGCTTTCTATGAGTGTTCTACCGAGTATTCTAATAGGAGGCCAACCGTAGAGACTTGGCATATATTGGTCATGCGCCTCCCACACTCCTACTGATTTCTTTAAACTGGCACTTTTTAGGCAACGTTTTACACCCATGCATGTTTCGTTGGAAACTAAGGATGGGATAAGCGGGACCTTATTTTCGCCAGACATATCGTTTGGGGGTGTGGTTCCTTCTCGTAGCCTTTCCGGAAGAGTGAATGAAATAAAACCGAACAGTTTACGACCTCATCTGGTTCGTTACCGTTGGTATTAGTGCCTATCGGCAACGTAAAACTACATAATTTGTCCTAACGGTAGAGATGGGGATTGCATGAGTTCGATTGCGATGTAGCTGATTTCTTGGAAGCCGTTTGTGCGGATGATTTGTGAAACAGGATAACCACTCTGCTTCTATATAAAAGAGCACCTAGTTGGAAAACTTTTCTTTTTCATGAACATCACTTTTTGTGTGTGGGTGGCGGTGATTGCCAGCACACAGTGACTCATGCTAGGGACAGTCTCCCTTGAATAGGGATGACTAGAGTCTCGTTTGGTCTCTTAAAGAAGGACACTTCTTGTCAAATGTTATAGACGTTTAGGCCTAAACATGAGTTAGTTATAATTGTGTATCAAATTCTGTCAATGTTGTGAAACCATCATTGATTTTGTGCATTCCGAAGTAGTTTCTTAAATAGTAAGCACAGGCAAGTCTCGAGAATCCATTACGTCTCAAAAGCTAAACACCGCGAGTGAACGGATATTTTACTGTGAAAATGGGTATTTAGCTGAGTGCTGAAGCATTTTATGGACGCCTAATTTTGAATCAGTGTAGAAGGTTGTTCATGCGGAACGATAAGGTTTGACGAGTGTTTCAATGTATTAATGGTGAAAGTATGGTATTTACAAACTAGTTTTTTGAAACTATGACTCACTAATGGAAGGGTGCTGACGCAAAATGTCTTGTGTCTCACCTGAGGTGAACTATGATGTAAAGATAAGAAATAGTAATGGATACCTCTGGCGGGACAATAGATAGAGTTAAATGTGTGTTAATCACCGCTATGGGTAATTGGGAATGGAGATTGAAAGTTAGTGGTGTCTAAACATTTCAAGCAAAAGGCTGGGAATATCTTGTCTGTAGAGTGGAACCATTCTGCCACAGCATATTCGGTTAAGTGGCGTGGATTACTTATGGTATAAATTGCTTAATCCAAAAGGAAACATGATTTGTCATGTGCTACAGGCATTGGTTCTTTCCAACTTTCTATGGTGTCAAATAGTACTTGTGCAAAAATGTTATTGCTGTTTTGGTTTTCAAAAGTCTCTGTCTTTTTTCCTTGGTGGTGCACAATTAGCCACACTGCAGCACTTTGAAAGGAGGAAGTGAAGCGAAGAGTGGAACTGTGATTTCTGTTATTATGACTAGGACAAGGATGTAATACAGGAAGGAAGTTTGACAGAGCATTGGTAAGGATGCTGTTTATTTGACTCTAATAGGAATCCAATGTTTTCTTCACTGAACTGAAGGAAATTTGTCTAGGTAGAAGCGAATAGTTAGTGTTTGGACTACATGAAAATAACCTGAAGGTGCAAGCTAGAGCTATCATAAAGAGTCGAGCTGGTCTTGAATGTTTCTGAAATTGTTGGGCCACTGTTTTTATGCTTTTATAGAACTATTAACTATTGCTCTACAGCAGAGACAGTAATCCTGATTTAGTATCTCCAACTATATCAGTTGGTTTCTATTTATTTTGGACGGACTATGATGCTGTACTGTGGCGTAGTTTAGAGTTTTTGAGATTGAATGCTGCGATGCGTTTACCTTTCGATAGCAATTAAATATAACAAGATTCTTTTCCATAGCCTGTAGTAGATATATTAGGGTGCCCTAGCTTATACATTCTTTGTTTTGTGGAATTATAACTATCCGATATAATAGACGACTTTCCAGGTTCATTTGGGCGTTTGGATTCTCACAGTTGTGGTTTTTTTAATTCTTTCAGTCCCGGAGGTCCGGTACTGTGTCGATTTTACAGAAGGAGTGAGTGGTCGGAGCGTGCCATCTGCTGTGTCTCCAGCGAAGTCTCAAGTTAAGAGTGGTGGAGGTGAATTTGTTGTGAAAGCCATGTACGATTACACTGCTGCTGACAAAGATGAGGTAGGGAATATTCAGTCTTAGGAAATGTCCTTAATATATGTAAATAGTAGCTTGGCGAATCCTGGATTTTCTATTTGTTACTTTTAGTCCCATAAAATTACCAGTTATCAAGTAACTTGGGCTAATACTGGTGAGGGCATCCATCATTCATATCTGCTCCTGCGCTAAAGCTGCTCTGTTAAACCTATACGCTCCAAGGACACTATGGGCGGTGTGGAAGTCATTATACTTTAACTGCCGTTTTTTTTAGCGAGAAAGTAGTTATGGGTACTTCCTCTGAGGTTTGCATGGTGTGGGTTTGATCATAGCTGAAGTTCTGGATGGGTGTCGAACTTATTTGCTTGAACTCAACGCTTTGCAGTCGTGATGACGTAGCAAACTGTTAGGTGGTTTTCATTTGTGTACGTGTTATTTTAGAAATACATTATCGGATTCAATTGTTTTAGCGTATGAATTTTGTTTTGTTTTTTATTTTCCGTGTGCCACTCTTCAGTCCACTATTTTAGGTTTCTTTTTTGGAAGGCGACATTATTGTGAACTGTGAGAAGGTTGATGATGGCTGGATGACTGGGACTGTTCAGCGCACTTTAGAATGGGGAATGCTTCCGGCGAACTATGTGCAACCGCACAAATTACCAACTGGATTGGCTAGAATTAAGTAGAAACATAAACTTTTCTCGAAACCCTTTTTTCTTTTTTTTTTAAGTGTTTTTTCTCGAAGAAAATGACAGAACTTCGATGAACGCGTTACGTCCCTCCTAAGTTTGCTACATCTCTTATAGCAGCCTCAATTTGCAAGTGTTTTTTTTGCAAGCCTTCCACATTCTTCCTACTACATCGTTTTAATTGTTTTTTTCTTTCTCCATGACTACACGTGAAGGAAGAAATTCGTGGGCTAATTGGCTTCGTAGGACTTTACATCGTCTGGTATTCACTGAAGCGTTGAGTGTAAGTTGGGATAATGCGATGTCTTTGGGGAGAAGTGAGAAAGCTCAACTGGCCTGTTATACGCGTAGCACAGAATGTTCATTATCGGTTACCTACTGACTGTCTTTGTTTGGATAATGTCGGATTTTACTGCTTCCGTGTGTTCGTAAATGAAATACAAAAAGCAGAGCTTCCATATGAATCGGGGCGGACTATTTAGCATCGTGAATTTCGTTCTTTACGATTGCCATCTCTGGAAACGAGTAATTGCTGTTCGTAGTAGTAGCTGAGAACCACCTTATTAGGGCTTTTAAACTTTCTATCTTTTCTCTAAAAGTTGTAACATCTCATCGAAATCATCGTTAACATGCTGATGTCTGGTCCTGCAATGTAGCCCTTTTTCAAGTCATCGAGGATATATTTATTCTAATTTGTAAATATATCTAATAGTCTTTATCTTATTTGAGCCGGGTTCTTGAAATCGTTCATGTGCTGTTATAGTTTCGTCAAGCTTCTGCTGCTTCATACAGTTATCTCCATAAGGCCTTGTCTTTTGAAAGTTACATTTTATGCTGAAATGATCAATTCTGTGCCTCTAATACTTCTGGTATGATGATGTACTTCTTTCTGGATTACTTGGCAGTTTACTACCCAATAACATCTGTTTGGAAATGTATTTATAAAGGTGATAAACATTTCCATTCTTTTTCCGATCTCCTATTTGAATGGTTGCAGTGCGAGTGCAAAAAATACTTTGATCTGGTACCTTCGTTTAACTTGTGATAGTGATAAGTAACATGCCTCCTGAGCAGTGCTAATGAAGATATTGCGCTTTCTTACAGCGCTATGTCTTCATTTGATGATGAGGACCGACGTGCTAAATATGCCTTGGCACCGAAGTCTACTACTCATGGGAAGGTAAGTTCAAGTAGTTTCCAAAAAAGTGGATGAGAATTTGGAAGTCTTCGCTTCGTTTTCCCCAGATTAGTTCTGTTTCGCGAGTTGCATGTGTTGACCTTGACCTCCTAATAGGGGACATTTTTGCCACGACTGTTGAGATCTTGTTTTTCCGTCAACATTCAGTTAAGGGCTAAATCCTACAGATTCGAGTGTTTTAATCAAGGTCAAAGTGTACTTATTTGACGATTAGTCGCGTGGTAATGACGACAGTGTTGACTTGCTCTTAGACAAAACTCACTTTGGTGAATTGTCCCGCTATCTTGCTAATACAGGGTCATTTAATATCTCCTAAGTATACGTGAGCGTATTTATGCCTAAATAGGTAGGGATGCTTGCATGTGAGTTAATTGTACCCCAGACTTTAGAGGCTGAAATCTGGAAAATAGTGAACGCGAATTACGTAAAGTGTAATTTGAGGTCTTCCCAAAGATCTAAGTCCTATCACTGCTACAAGCGAATCCAGCAAGCTATCTGAGAATGTGTAATACTCCTAAGAAAGACCGATGAGTACCCACCTAGCAAAAACACCAATTTATGACGTTGTACTAAACGTGGGATGCTTCTGATGATTAGACAAAACTCACTTTGGTGAATTGTCTCGCTGTCTTGCTAATACAGGGTAATGCACGGTAGTTTTGGCAAGTCTGGTGAGTGACCACATTGGATGGAGACTGTTCGCGAAAATTGCCTAGTGGTTAGCAAGATTATGATGATGCAGATGCAGCTCAGTGTTGTTCATTCCTTATTATATGTTCTTTTAGGTGGTGAAGCTCTCTCCTAAGCGGTTACATACAAAACGTGAAGTACGTACGGTACTTCCTGAAGAACAGTATTTGGCTAAACTGGAAAAGATCATTGTCAGAGACTACTTTCCTGATCTTCCAAAGCTTAAGGTATCTTCATAATATGTTTTGATCAGATTCTCATTGGAATACTAATGTGTATAGGCACAAGCTGAGTACATGGATGCTGTGAAGCGCAACGACATTGCAAAAATGCGCGAATTGCAGCTACGTTATCACACTGGACGTCGCACTGTTCGAAGGTGTCATACTTAAATAGCTACTTAACGTTTGGTATTTTCTATGGAAAATAGTTGAACCCTTACCATTTCGTTAGAACAAGTCCGTTGACTAGCGGCACAACACCTGGGCATCGAGCTCCAACGTCACCAATCAGTTTTGATCCGGACACTCCCGGTCCAAGTCGACCATCCGAGGGTGTCCAAGGGACGCCACTTCCTTATGCGAACTGCGAGGGTGACAACGAAGTACTGTTTTTAAAGTCTTGTCTAAGTGTGTCATACTTTTCCGCAATACAGAGAGATTTTCTACAGGCTGTGAAGGCAAGCGTCCAAAAGAAGAAATCAAACCCTGAGGAACTTTCAGTAGATGCATATATGAACAAATTTACATCAGAAGACAACGCATCGTTTGAAGAGTTGACGGCAGTAGAGATGGCAAAGGAACGGTCGAAAAAAGGTTGGATCTACGAGGCAGAACAGAAACATAATGCGGAAAAGGTATGTATGATAACTTGATGGCAGTGTAGTTTTCCACTGTGCTCACAGAAATGATTATAACGATCAAAGGTTATGGGAATCACTGATTATCTAACCTGATCGCAACAACTAGATTCCGTGTTAGGCACATAGAGCCTTTCGTTGCCGAATTCCGGAGTATCAACAGGTTATGAAGTAGAAATCTCGTTCATCGTTCTTTTGGTGTGAAGTGTGGATATTTCATATGATAGGCGTATAGCCCAGAATTCTTGTTTCCTGTTTACAATCGGCGAACTTGAACAAACTATCGATATCGCCTTACATTGGGAACACATCAATACCATGTGATCTTGTGTTATCTCACTTCTTTTTTCCAATCTCCTTACCTAAATATAACAGTTTCTTAGTACTGACAGTGTTTAATGTTACTTACTTACTTGATACTTGAACGGCCCGTCCTCATTAGTTGTGGTAGCCCCAGCATAATCATTTTTCGGAGATTTGCTGGATAAGCTATTGTGGTTCACTAAAATCCCGAAGGTAGCCTGGCCAAAGTCTGCCCCAGGTCGTCACTACTAGAGACAGTCGCGGCCCTAATGGATCAGAGCGATATTTGCCACTATGCGACTTTGATAGTATTTAGTGTTACGGCAGTTAACATGCTGGCAGTACATTTTCTCATTACAGGTTACACATGGCATACTACCGGCTTCTGCCGATCTACAGCTCGCTTTAAAGTATGATAGCGAAGCTGACAAAGGTAAATTTTGCTCTTTTTTAGACCTTCATTCCTATAAGTAGCGTAGCTTTACCAGAACCTTCTATTCACAGGAGGTGATGTGTCGCAATATTAGCCCGTAAAGCACGCGCACCGTTCAGCGTAGCTCTCCGAACGGAATGCAAGCAATTTTTCGTCGGTTGCAAACTTTCTGGTTTAATGACAGTAGGGAATGTTTTTCCAATAACTAGTGGACGTGAGGGATTTTAAACAATACAGCATTCCCAGGATCAACTTTCTATTAACATCGGCATTGGGTTATAAATTCGTCGTTTTCTTTCTCAGCAATCAAGACAGTATTGTAGGAGAGACTTCGCTCTATTGTTTTATGGGTGTGAATGTGCGCGACACTATTTGTCGTTTGTTACTATGGTTCATTATACAAATACATTGCTATCTGAATTTAGGGAATGGTTCTTCTATTCTCAGCCCTCCTATTTTGATCTAATTGACTATCGAGTGCATATACACACATATATGTATATATATGAACATACATATGTATATGTATATGTACATATACATATACCTATAAACAGTGCGTTGAAAAAAAAATTGTGGACCCTATGAACTGAAGATGAGCACTACGGTGTTCATACCGAACCCAGATCCAACTACGTACGGACGCCCTAGTGTCCGTACTGTGCGTTATGGGTTAAAGTAAACGAAGCCATCTAATTTATCCTTTTTTCTATCCTATATTTCCTTGGAAACGTCAAATTTTCAGCTAAACCAAAAGAAATTGACAACTGGACGTACACGGCGCGTAACTCTGTGTTATTCCATTTGGAAGGTGCGCCCTTGACCGCTGAAGAACGCATGGAGCAGGAACGAAAGAATCAAAGAATAATCAACAAGTCTGGCACTCGTTTCCCTGAAGACATTAAAAATAAACCATCGGAGGTAATTTGTCGTTTAGGAACGACTTGTTTTAAACATATCTATTGTTTGGCGGTAGGATGTTTTTTTCCACCGAGCAAAACAATTTAGGCCTCTATGGCACGAGCTAGCATGGTGCAACTTGCAAATAATGCCGGCAAAGTAGATGCTCAAGGACGAGAAGTTGGACTGAATAGCAAAACTCTAGATTTAGTGGCTACACCCAGTCCTGCTCCTGGTATAGATATAGTTGTGCTTCTCTTGTTTTAATTATATTTGAATCGTATAATTTCGACGTCTTCAGGTGTTGATGACTCGCCACTGATGACATGGGGAGAGATCGACGGGACCCCTTTTCGTTTGGATGGTGCCGATATTCAGCCACTAGTTGAAAACGCTCCAACCTTCAAGGTAGTGTATGGTTGCTTATTTATTTCAACTAGTTGCAATTGAGCAATGTACTTCTGGTTGTGCTACCTCACGGTGATGTTGTATGGAAAGGCAGCGCTACATGTCTTAAGTAGCTCGTGGGAGTTTGTCATTAATTGATATAGTTCAGATGCCCGAAGTGCCATTTCGCGAACAAGTCGCTTTGGAAATCAGTGATACCATTGCCAAGCGGTATCGTGACAAGCGACGTGCTGCTATGAAAGCGGCTGAGAAGGCACAGTAAGTTATAGATCACTTATGAAAACTCTTATCATCTCACAAATGTAGGTAGGCAAGGTGTGTTGTTATTTTCAGTAGAACACCACGGTTCGGATCGGTTCACTCATCCGCTCTTTCACTGGCTACCCTTTCACCAGCAGCTCGACGTCTCGCTTCAACTAAACTTGGTATCCGACTGCCTTCTACCGAACATTTGCGCGCTTTAACGCCTTCTAGGTGAGATGTTTGTTAGGAACTTCAGGGTAAAGTCTATAAGTCATTTCTTGCTTGTTATAGGACCGGAAGCTTGCGAGCAAGTCCTCATATGCGATCTGCTTCAAATACACCTATTGTAACTAAGGCAAAGGTGTCTTCGATTACGGATAACCTTATGCCAGTGTCTTCTGAAGAAAGTGGAACATCGACAAGTGGTCGTCCCACTGCTGGCGACTTTTTCTAATCATTAGATTGTTCTTTGGTTAAAGGAGTACTCATGATGTACAATTATGCTGAGCGTTATCAATAATGCGAATGTGCCATTTTTTATCCGTATCGTGCTTAACACATTCGGCTCGCTACTAGTCATATATGAGTCGTAAACCCTTTTGTCTCTTACGGTACCGGAGTATTTCTCCGGAATTCAAAGAACGGTTTTCTTTCATTTTTTGCTGTTGACACTTATATCATAGGAAAAAAGTAGTGAAAGAAATGGGATTTCGTCATGATAAGTTATTCTTTATGGATGCTGGTTGCTTGTATTAAGAATTTTAGAAATTATGTTCTTTCGATCTTTAAAAATTTGACTTTTAAAGATATTCAATGTCGAAAGAGTATTCTACAAAGATTACGTGTGATAATGTGAAGTTCTGAACTCGGAGAGCTGAATCCTGTTATTACCAAGCAGTTCAAAATAATGGGCAGTTCTTGAAAAGCCGGAATCGGGCCATGTGTGTTAGATTTCATATTCGCTTCTTTTTGTACAGTAATAAATTTGGGCATTTGGTGAGTGTCACCACTTTGTGAGTTATGTTCTCAGTCGTTGAATTCCAGTCCCAGTGTTAATGAAGCCCGAAGCATTGTTCATTTTTGGTTGTGGTATGGATCAGATGGTTTTGTGGTGTGGTCACCGCTGTTGATTTTCTATTCAGCGAGAGAATACATGGTTTCTTATTTGCACAATTTTGCCATCATGTGTAAGTCCTCAGGGGCACTTGTAGCGCAGTCGTCAGAGGCGCCCTGCAATTCACATGGGGTCGATCTACGCGCTTCAGGCCAACCAAGCTCTATCAGGGGCCGGCGAATTGGTGCCAGATTTGTCTGGGAGGATAGCAGCACAGGCTCGATACATCGGTGTACCATCTTAAGTCACTGTATGGGCCAGATATGCATTAAATCGCCTCCAAAGATGCTTAATGAATCGAGTTCACGGCGTATCCCTCAGGGACAACGCCAAGAGATTCACCCTTTATTTATACTTTATGTTAATCCTGAGCAAGTGAACTTTGTTATGTACCCAACGTTGGTTCCAATACTCTGCATATTTGTTCCTTAGTGTTTGCACCAAAGAAATATGATACATGCCTAGACGAAATGCTGTTCTCAGCACTTCATCCGTTCGTTGTTTGCAGCCGTCATCCACGGAGGTGGTCGTGGTTCGCGCGTGAGTTCTGCTACGACTAGAAGCAGAGCTTGTTATGTTCTCTTCCCGTTGGATTTTTGGATTCTTTTTGACAGTGGCGTTCACCACGACACCATATAGGTCCTTCGCTTCGTTTGCCTCTGCTGGTTCTATCGATCAGTGCCATAAGTGATCACCCATCAACGGGATTGATCTGGGGGGTCCAAATCGACAATGAACCCAGTTAAGCTGAGGTTTTAGTTATAATCACAATCTTAACCGTTTTTATTTACTGGCTAATCTTTTTAATGGCAGGGTATTAAGCGGAAAGCAACCACAATATTGCTGAGATATTTGCAAAACTTCGGACCGCAGGTGTCTGCGGTGGGGAACGAACGGGCTATTGTCTTTTCCGGGGAGAAACGTGATCACTACCACACCATGCGGGTCCTTCGTTTCTTACAGCAGGATATTATGTGTGGTGCAACCACAGTGATAATGAGATATTTGCAAAACTCCGGACCGGTGTCTGCGGTGGGGAACGAAGTTGACATTGTGATTTCGACTACAGCCTCAGCTTAGCTGTGTTCGTTGCCGATGTGGGCTCCCCAGGTCAATCACGTTGACGGGTGATTGCTAATGGCACTGATGGGTAGAACTAGGTAAGAGACAGGCGAAACGAAGGACCCGCATGATGTGGTGGTGGACGCGTTAGCCCCCGAAGAGTGTAATAGTGCGTTCGTTCCCCGGCGCAGACACCTGTAGTCCGGAGTTTTGCAAATATCGCAGCATCATTGTAGTTTTAATGTCCACTAATTGTGATTTCTTGATTAATTGTGGAGATTGTGATTTCGACTTCAGCCTCAGCTTAACTAGGTTCGTTGTCGATTTGTGCTCCCAGGATCTGTCTCGTTGACGGGTGATTGCTGATGGCGCCGATCAATAGAACTAGCTGAGAGACAGGCGAAACGAAGGACCCGCATGGTCTGGTGGTGAACGCGTTACTCCCGGAAAAGGGTAACAGTGTGTTTGTTCCTCACCGCAAACATCTGCGGTCCGGGGTTTTGACAATATTTCGGCATTATCTTAGTTATGGAATTTTATTTTGTGCATAGACGGTCATAGGCAGTTACGAACTAACTAGTGTCTGAAACTGTTCGGTGATAGTTCAACCACTGCTGCCGATTTCGCTAATCCGGCTGTTTTTAATTAATGTTTTCTACTCATTTCTTTCCACTTCTGCTCAGCAAACACGAGGTGCTATTCCACTTCCCCAGTCACGTAAAAGCTAACGTTTCGGCGGATTTCGCCTTCCTCAGAGCCTGGAAAGGTCACGTCGACAGCAACCCATTCGGCCAAACCAAACACCTTCACAACCAAACTGAGAAAACGCCAAACCAAGATTTCAATCACATTGAACACAGCTCCGCACACTCACCGCTTTCTATGAGTCTTCCACTGAGTATGTCGTATGAAGACCAACCGCACAGAATTCACCTCGAAGCGTAATGTGCCCCATGTGTGTTTGCTGAGCAGAAGTGGAAAGAATTGTTCAATCAATGCCGAGGTTAATAGAAAGCCGGACGTAGGAGTTTCTACTTATTTCGTTGGAAATAAAAATCAAGATAGGCGGATTCCTATTTTTACTAGATTTATCGTTTTGGGGCATGCTTTTTTCTCTAAAGCTATCCCGAGTAGTTACCTTTCATAGACATTGAAAATGACTATTTTTTACGCCGAGTTCATGAATTTGTCCTTCTTCTCGTTTCTACGGGCAAACCGATGGCTGTTCAAAACAGGCCCGATATGTTTGTTGAGTGTACATCTGCTCACTCACGACGTTTATCCATTTTCGTATGTCGTAAGGTTTAGATGAGCAACAGCGAGTTAGAGCAAGCGAGATTACGTGAATAATTCCGCTGCATGGACCACATCCAAACCGCGTCGCGGGTAATAAAAGTTTGTTAGAAATCGCATTTTCTCCTAGTCCTGACTTTTTTCAACTATAATAAAGTGTTTGACAATGTCGAAACTAATGCAATCCTATCAGCGCTTGTCGGCCAACGAGTGGATCCGTATTCACAATAACTCTACCTGACTGTTGTCGAGATTTTCCATAAAAAATAGAGCTTTTCCATCGACCTCTTAGCATACCCATAGGAAAAGGAGTTCGGCAAGGCGACACAACATCGCCAAAGCTGTTTACTGCGGTACTGCAATAGATAATGAAGTCACTCGATTGGAACAAGGTTATACGTATTGATGAGAAATCCCGGTCAAATCTTCTGTTCGCGGATGACATTATCGCCTTTTTCCAGGAGTACCGCTGGAGCAGACGCGATGCTCAATGAGATGAACGAAATGGGAAAAAAGATTGTGCTGCGCATAAATAAGACGAACGTCTAGGCCATGAAGAACCTATGGTGCAAAGCGTACCAATCGAACTTAATTGTTCTTTGTTTAGTGTAGAGACGACGTTATACGTGTGCCTTCGACATTCAACGAACATGGAGAAAACTTGGAAGAGGGATAGAGCAGCATGGACCTCATTCGGATCTCTCAAAGAACCACCAACCAAGTAACAGACCCAATACTTCGCGCTCACCTTCTGAGTTCATCATTCCTCCTAGCGGTCTGTTATGCAGCTCAGACGTGGACCGGTACTTCAAACACGTCAAGAAATTTGTTCACCACCCACAGAGCGCTTGAATGATCTTTTCTGAAATTCAAGCAGCACCCACACTGTCTCGCCGGAATGCGGAGCTCAGATTTTTGAAATAAATTTCGTCTTCGATATCGAGGAGAATATACATATACATCAATAGCGAAGCACAGGCGGACCGTTCAAATAATAAAAAGAACAGATGACAGATGGGCGAAAAGAACTGTAGAACTGACTCCACGATAATGCAGAAATTCTTTTGGGCGACAACCCAAACGATAGGCCGACGTGTTCGTGGGTAATCTCAGCCATTTTCATTGGCAGGTGGTAACCCTTTCAGGACTACGGAGTGTGCTACACCGACCTCACCATATTCAAAGAAGACCACCATGACGACGACGATTGCGTGAGAGAGAAACGCATCGAAATTGCTCAGGGGGCCGCACTACCAATGACGGCGGGTAATCCAAATATCCAACTAAATAAGTAAGGTTATGGTTCAGTTTGAATTAATTCGCACATGGTCCTTCGAGTATTATCCGCACATTCTCAGAATATCCGATCTTGTAGGCGTGAGAATTAAAATTGAAAAATCCAGTAATTGGTGTGTTTAGCTCTGTGGGTAACAATGAGAACGTCTAGTCTTAACTCTTTTATTTACTGCCTTTTTCTTCTTAATGGCAGGGTATGTTGTGAAATATAACTCGTATGAAGTGCTGAGATATTTGCAAAACTCCGGACCACAGGTGTATGCAGTGGGGAACGAACACACGCTGTTGTCCTTACCGGGAGCAGCGCACTTCGCCACTACACCATCCGGGTCCTTCGCTTTGCATGTATCTCAGCTAGTTCTATCGATATATTTCACAACATACCCTGCCATTAAGAAGAAAAAGGCAGTAAATCAAAGAGTTAAGATTGTGATTATAACGAGGCCTCAGCTTAACTGGGTTCAATGCCGATATTGGCTCCCCAGATCAATCCCGCTGACGGGTGATTGCTGATGGCAAAAGATCGACGGAACTAGTTGAGAGACAGGCGAAACGAAGGACCCGCATGGTGTGGTGGTGAACGTGTAACTCCCTGCAAAGGTCAATAGCGCGTTCGTTCCTCATCGCAGACACCTGCGGTCCGGAGTTATGCAAATATCTTAGCATTATAAAAATGATAAGGTTTTGAC